TAATTTTTGTTTAAGTGTTCGGGAGCCCAGCCGCCTTACCTTTGTAGAGTGGCGGCCCCCGAAGAATTTTTAAGTACCCAGAGTTCCAGGAAAAGACCTGCCCGGCTACCAGCCAGGTGCCAGTACCACTATCAGCCACCTGACGGGGGTGGCCCAAAGATCCATAATGGACTTGTGTATGAATCGACAATAGTGTCCAAAGCAGGCTAGAGGGTCAGGATGGGTCCTGCCATCAGAAACTGGCTCACAAGCCCCACCAGCAGCTTACAGCAGAACATCTGGCCCCAGCTGCTTCGAGTTGCCAGGGCTTCTGCTGCAGTTGAATGTGATCTTTGCTCTGTTCCCAGATCCTGTCCCGAAGCCCCGGGTGAATGTCACTTCTTTAAAAAAGACCAAAGGAGGGTGCAGTGTCACCTTGAAGTGCTCTGTCAGTATCCCAGATGTGACCTACACATGGTACAAGGATGACAAGAAATGCAATGATTCCAAGTTAAATGGAGACCTGGTCCTCTCTCTCACATCAGAAAGCAACATAATGTACAATTGTACTGTCTGCAACTCCGCCAGCTGCAACACTGAGTCCATATATTACCGAGGCGACTGCCAATGGCAAGGTAGTGTTTGACCTACATGCCTTCCATGGCTTTAATGCACTTCCACAGCCCCCTGGACTCTGTAGACAGCATGCGTGCATCTGAGGGAGCTGAAGGGCTCAGCATATGTGTGTGCGCAGGGGGCTTTGGCCTTAGGTGTCTTGAGGTCGACCACCCACTGCTGACCCCAACAGGGCTCCATTCAGTGAACCAATGCAAGGGTGCACACACGCACATGCCCCAAAGAGAGGAGGAGCATGGGGCCAGCATAAAGGATGTGGTCCCTGCAGTGCTCTGGGGGAGGTTACCTAGGAAAGGTGCTATCCAGACTCCCATGAAGGCTTTGCTCTGGGGGTGCTGCAGGCGTTCCCCCAAAGCAGGTCTCTTGAAGCCCTGCTATGCAGGATGAATCGGGGAAGTCCTCCCCCAAACTGGTTTGGACTACCTGAGCAGGGCTGGCTGCCAGTGGCCTACATACTTCCAGCTGGCCCATTCTTGCCCCAACTGCTTATTTCTGACTCCAGCTTGAGTCCCCACTTCCTGATTTGCCAGCTCCTAGCTTGTAGCTCTTGACCCTCTGTCTGACACAGGAATAACCTGCTCTTGTCTCCATCCAGACAGGAACACTGCCTCGTCCACGCTCCGGCTGGCAGCTGATTCTGCGGTGACTCTCGGGATCCTCCTGCTCCTCCATAACTTGCTATGAGGCTGGGGGCCCAGGGAGGTGAGCACAGCCCTGGATCCCATCCTGCCTTCTGTTCTGAGATGCACTGAGGCCACCTGCACACAAATCCACTCAAAAGCAGCACTGCAATATAGCCCAGAAGCAGCAACACGATGTGTCCAAGCCATACTGTGATATAACCACCAGTACTGCAATGTGGTGACCCATATCTCTGTCAACAGGAACCAGCTGGAGATGAACATTGTCCTAGAGAATGACAGCAATGTAGGGTGGGGAAGAGATCTCAAGGGGACATCTCCTTCTCACCCCGGCAGCGAGGCATGATGTGGGTCTGGACTAGGATTGGCAAGCTGGTCAACTGACCAGTCAAATATTATCAATTGACTGTATGTTTTTTTCAGTCAAAGAGCAATTTTACCAAACAAATGTACATTTTTAATTGCTTGATAGAAATGTGATTTAAAAATGTTTTGACACATTTCTTAATGAAATATCTGTGTATATTTTGCTATACATTATTTAGACCAAATGGCATTTTTTAAACCAGTTTTGATCAGTAAAATACCCAATCCTAGTCTAGACACATGTCCTGAGAAGCCTTTGTCAGCCAATGACAGCAATAAAGAAATGACAGCAAGTGAGGGCTCATGCGGGGTGGGGATGGTCGATCTAGCCTACCGTTACTGTGTGCACGGGGACCTGGAGACAACGGGATGGGGGCGAGAGAGCTTGCAAACAAAGCGGCTTTGGGGTTAATACTACCTGCTTTTCGGTAAAATCTTGCTGCCCCTGGAAGTGAGTGGGAAAGGTTCACCCCCTTGCAGCCAATCTGCAAGAGAGTCGGCACGAGCTGCAGCAGCCTGTATCCTCGGCATGGAAAGTGCTGGCTTGAATCTTCCGAGCAGCCGCCAAGACATGTCATGGTCCTGCTTCTGGGACTTGGGCTTGGAAAATAAACTTTTCAAACATATCAATGAATGTTTTGCTTGGGTACATCACATGAACTGGCTGCCAAACAGTTTCATAATTACATGGTGCAGCGGGTTGGGTAATTGCTCACTCTAGGTTGTTCCGTGTTTGTTTACAGTCTTTTGCCACTGTCTTTAGTGCTCCAGGGCAAACTGTGCTGGCAGGAGTCCATGTAACCAAACTCAATCCATAAATAAAACATAGATCACGGGGTTTTTTCCCAGACCCAAAGAGAGCTGTTAGGTGTGGTTTTGCCTTGCCCCCTCTACCCCTTTTTTCCCTCTGGTCCCAACAGGAAGGGCTCACTTACAGACCCTGGTCCTCTGGGAGAGCAGCACTCCTGGCATGATGTTCAGGCTCCTCCACGAGGTGACCTGACGGCTCTCCCCTTCTTGATACTCCGTTCTCACTTTCAGCTTCCCACTCCCTGGGAGCTCTCCCTCCCGCCCTGCTGTGGCTCTCAACTCCTAATATTCCTCTCCATTTGGGAGCCTTTAGCTTCCCGTGGCCAGGTAATTATCCCCCTCAACTGGCCCAGTCCTCCTAGGCTGGCTGTAATCACTCTTGACTGTCTGCAGCTGGGTGGTAGCCCCTTGCAGCCTGCTACACACAGCACGTCTCCCTGTGAGGCAAAAGCATATCACTAAGTTAATTAATTTGTACTGCCCTACTGCAGCCTCAGTTGTGGGGGAAAAGGTGAGGTTACAGACACCTTGACTACAACATTTGCTAGTCTTCGAGTACTTCACTTTACAATTCGTTCAGGGACAATTCCCTCTGCACCCCTGTGGGACACCTGTTTTGTACCCTCATTAAATTAAATATGGCACATCTTTTATAATCAGCTGTGTCTTTTAACCTGTGAACGTCTTAGGGTGTTCTGGATTGTCCCAAATGCTCACCCCCAAACCACCCCTTTCCTATGCATGCACTTTGTTAATACACATGAAGATCCATTGCTGGGGCTGGTCATTTGCCAACTGGTGTTTAGGATGAATGGCTATATACAGGCTGAAGTTGGTGCATCTCTTTCTTATGGCCTGAGAAGGGTTAAGCCAGGGTGCCCTCACCTTGGGGTGGAGTGTAAGGTGTGGGAAGGTGAGGAGTGTTGTGGACAGCTAGAAATGCTGAGAGGAGACCACAGTCCAAAAAGTGTGGATTAGGGAGACCTGGCCCCTCATTACTCCCAGCCCTCTTCATTAAACCCCTTCCTCCAATCTGCCCCCTTCCTCCACCATTGCAACCACCCAGGACGAAGGACGGGGAGTTGAGAAGGGGAGGAAATGCAGAGCTGGCAAGGATGCCACGTTAGAGCCTGGCTCTGTGGTGCCCAGCCCCAAGCCCCAGAGAGCCCAGTAGGTTGTTTCGACCATCTGATGACCCTTGAGACCATACTCTGGGGTTCACACCTGACCCTCCCCAGTTCCTCCCAGGAAATGGAAACCAGCCAGTAGGAGCATGCTGCACTGGAGAGGTGATGCCTTGGGATCCTACCTGCTCTGCCAAGCTGAGCAGGATGGAGAGGGGGCACAACCAGCCCAGGGGATGCTGCGCTCACCACGGAAGATGCCCCCTGCCTCCATGGCGGGTCTGAAAGCCCAGACACAATTTGCAGCAGCTGACAACTCAGCCCAGGAGCTGCTCCTGGTTTTCAAAGTCCCCAAGACCCAGCAGCTCCTTGGGGTTTCACAAGACGAGAGGTTCCCAACAGACTTCTGACAGCAAGAAGAGACTTGAGTAGCAATGCATCCAGCTTCTAGAGCCGGCCTTAAACAAAGACTCCCCAGGCCAGACTCATCAAAGCATCTGCAGCAAGGCAGCTGGCTCCTTTGAAGATCCTTAATGAGCGCCTGGCCTTCAAGCTCCCCGCCATTAATGAGGGGCTTGTGATAACTCAGGCTCCACTGCTGAAATGTAGCTGTCCCAGCCCACCAGATAGGCCTTTATCTCAGTATCAATATAGATTTGTGCAGGAATCTCCATGTAAATATTTGCCATTATACCCGGTCCTTTCAAACACACGCCCAGCCCAGAGCACAAAGGCAAAGCTTTCTGGCTTCAAAGAGCTGAGGAAATTCAGGGCGATCTGATTGCAATTGAAAGCAAGGGCCAAGGGGGATTGCAGAACCCTTGGGATGAATAAGCATGCTCAAAACATCCCTGAATTAAAAAAAAATTTTTTTTTAATAATTTGTATTCGTGGCCAAATTAGCCCAAACGAATTCCAATTCCAAGAGTCCAGAACCAGAAGTGGCCCTACTACCAGCAAACATCCTCCACCACACCTGGGGCTTCAGATGCTTCCGAATCCTTTGGCAGGTATCCTACTTGCAGGCCCCAGCCCGGAGGCTTGGGGTTCGGATGTCCCCGAGTTTTGCTTGCCCCCATCCATAAGGCCCTCAGAACAAGCAAGGGAAGAGACTCCCATTTCCATAACTGGGCTTAAAGCCACTGCACCTTGGCAGGTACCGAACCACGCCAGAAGAGCAGTTCTCCTACAAGGCAGTTCAGGAAAACTGCCTTCTTGGACACAGATGCGTGGTATTTCCCTTGCCAGGTTAAGAAGCCACTATGCTTGATCTGAGCCGAGAAGCAGCCCCACAATTATCATTATTGCACTGAGTCAGCACCGCCCTGGTGCCTGGGAGCCCCCCGTACGGCCCACAACCCCACTGTGCCAGGCACTGTATGCATGAAGAGCAAGCCCCTCCCCGGTAATTTTGCATTCTGCATCACATTGGAAGCTAAGGATTGACATCAAAACAACCCTGTCTATGTAATGGAAAGGGATTAGCCACCAACCACATAGATCCTTCTCCACTGGCTTTGTTTTAGGTGCTGCTGTTCATAAGGGTCACCAGGGGAAGGATTTACAGCTGCTATAAGCAGCACAGCTCCATTGGCATCAGTGGGGTCAGGTCAACCCACTCCAGCGGATGCTTTGGCACCTGGGCATACAAAACGAAAGCCCAGAGGGTATTTTTTGCAGCTGCTTCTTGAAAAAAAATCCCTTCTCTGAACAGCAGGGGACAGTAGAAGCTGCAGCCAGCTCTTGGGTGATTTGTAGGAACTAGGTGCGTTTCTCTTGCATTTGCTGCCAGGGACCTCATTTGGTAAATAGCATTTTGTGGCAACGGCTGGGTTCCCCGAAGCGTAGGCCAGGCTACAGTGAAGGCGTGTTTAGTGCTGGAAACCTCTTCCTTTCTGCAAACCAGCAGGCTTTTGAAGAAGAGAGCTGGGATGTCCCCCACACAAATGGAAGGTGATATTTCCATGAGGGTTGCAGGGGATGGGGCAGCACTATCAGCAAAACAAGGAACTGCCTCATTCTTGCTCACCCACACAGAATTAGAGAAAATGAGGGTGAAAAGGGACCTCAGGAGGTCGCATCTAGTCCAACCCCCTTCTCAAAGCAGGACCAGCCCCAACTACATCATCCCAGCCACAGCTTTGTCTACCTGGGTCTTCAAAACCTCCAAGGACGGAGACTCCACCACCTCTCTGGTGGAGTCTCTGTCTAACCTGTTCCAGTGTTTCATTATCCTCCTAGTGAGAAAAATTTTTACTAATAACTAACTTCAACTTCCCTTGCTGCAACTTGAACCCATTGCTCCTTGCTCTGTCCTCTGCCACCACTGAGAACAGCCCAGCTCCATCCTCTTTGCAACCCCATTGCGCAGAGCTGAAGGCTGCTATTAAATTCCCCCTCAGTCTTCTCTTCTCCAGACTAAATCAGCCTAGTTCCCTCAGCCTCTCCTCACAAGTCATGTCCCCCAGCTCCTGAACCATTTTTGTTGCCCTCTGCTGGACTCTCTCCAACTTGCCCACATCCTTTCTGTAGTGGGGGGCCCACAACTGGACACAAGACTCCAGATGTGGCCTCACCAGTGCAGAATAGAGGGAAAGAATCACTTCCCTTGATCTGCTGGCAATGCTCCTGCCAATGCAGCCCAGGATGCCGTTAGCCTTCATGGCAAGAAGGGCACACTGCTACCTCATATCTGTCTTCTTACCCACTGTCATCCCCAGGTCCTTTCCTACAGGGCTGCTGGCCAGCCCGTCAGCCCCCAGCCTGTACCAGTGCATGGGATTGTTTCATCCCAAGTGCAGGACTTGGCATGTGTCCTTACTGAACCTTACTGAACATGCTCCCAACACCACGCCTTTCAACTGCTCCTGCGTGCAGACACTCCAGGCATTGGCTATGTAGCAAACTGATTTTACCTGGTAGTAAAAACGGAGCAGACACATCATTTCCAGCTCTAGAGAACTGCAAATCTCTTGAAGCCAAGGTAATATTAAATCCTTGAGGACAGTGAAAGGAATCCGCGGTCTGTCCCCTGGCTTGCTTTCACCCCAGTAGCCATCTACCCCGTGCAAACAGACTTTTGTACCACATGGTAGCCAGGCCCTGAGACAGTGCCTGCTGCAGGCTGGTAGCTTGGAAGAGCAGCTCCTCTGTCTGCTCCTTACTACAGAATACTTTTACTACTGGGTAAAAGCCTGGGGTGAATGACTCTGTCCTACACGTGTTGTGTGTCCGCATCTGAGAATGTCAGAGCAAGGTGCAAGGTACCTCCTGCGTGACAGCGGAGAAAGACCTTTCTAACACCTGCTCTTAGAGGTGGATTCATGCTCTGAGGTAGGAGGACCCTCACAGACCTTCAAAAATAGCTTTACTATATAAATACCCAGTGCAGTGCAATGCCCTACATGCACTTCATCTGTATAAAGCCCAATTCCTATTCCTGATCCTGTTTTGCTTTGGGTCTCGCAGCCCGGAGCTCAGTGGGTTACTCAGACATGTCCAGCACACTTCCTCCCAACGGTCCAGAGTAGGGTTTAATGGCACATCTCATCACGGTGTTGTGAGAGGATGACCATACCTAACCAGCTAGCTCTGTGC